CATAATTAGTCACTGCCATTAGATTAAATTGATTCAACGACACAGATACGACCACACCGTCATACCTAATGACATGACCACATATGAGCTCTTTTATATATATATATATATATATATATATATATATATATATATATATATATATAGAGGGAAGGGATTAGGTGCATGGAGGACTTCCCGTGCAGTTGTGCGGTGGACGCACATTAAGCATTAAACTGACGCACTTTAAGTACACAACACACGCACATTAATCACACAAATAAAACATCTTATGAACACAAACCCACGCACCTTAAGCACAAACTCACGCACCTTAAGCACAAAACTCACGCACCTTAAGCACAAACTCACGCACCTTAAGTTTCAACCACTACTCACATTAAGCACAAAACTCACACACCTGAAGCACAAGACTCACGCACTTTAAGCACAAGACTCACGCACCTTAAGTACAAAACTCACGTAACTTAAGCACAAACTCATGCACCTTAAGTTTTAACTACTCACATTAAGTACACACTCACACACCTTAAGCACAAAACTCACGCACCTTAAATACAAGACTCACGCATTTAAGTACAAAACTCACGCACAACCGCACGGGAGACACTTAACCGCACTGGAACTTAATTATATGTATATATATATATATATATATATATATATATATGTGTGTGTGTGTGTGTGTGTGTGTGTGTGTGTGTGTGTGTGTGTGTGTGTGTGTGCGCGCGCGCTTAAGGTGAATTAGTTGTTGAAAGTTAAGGTGCGTCGGCCTAAAGCTTTAGGTGCGTGGTTTTCCTTCTTAAGGTGCATGATTTGTATGGTTAAGGTGCATGATTTGTATGCTTAAGGTGTGCCCAGTTTAAAACTTTAGGTGTGTGATTTGTGTTCTTAATGTCCTTTATTTGTGTGCTTAATGTGCGTAGTTTGTGTATTTAATGTGCACCATTTTAAAACTTTAGGTGCGTGATTTGTGTTCTTAAGGTATTTTGTTTGTTTGCTTGAGCTGTATAATTTGGGTACTTAAGGTGTACCATTTAATGCTTAAGGTGAATCTTTTTGAGTTAACAGTACAACCGCACGCGAAACTATGTCGGCACCTGAACCATTCCTGAATTATTTTATCTGACATTTTCCCGATATTATCTCTTAGTAGGGATGCTCTTAGAAAAAATATAAGATCATACATAATAGGTTCAATCCGTTACGAATAATAAAAAAAAATCATAAATTTATAATAATAAAAAGTATGCTTTATTCATTCCACCATTTTGAGGCATATATCCTTTTCTCAATGTTGTAACCTTAGTTTAATATGTCCCTCACATTCCCTTGTCATTACTCACGGTCCCCCGTAACGTTGTTCTCGATTCTTGGTGGTCTTTCTTTTGGATAAGACACTCTTGATATATGTGAAAAAGATGATCCGCTTTATTCACGATTTGACGAAGAAAATGACATATCCCATAAACTAATCAAAAAATACCTTATTAATTTGCTGCATTTTCAATCATTTTAAGGGACTAATTTGATACGGAGTAATTAAAAATAATTTCTTTCATTTATATATATCATTAATAAATATAATTTTACTAAACGTATGCCATTCAAAAAATTCTATGGAGTACAATGCTGCTTTATAATTCTCATAATTATATTGAACAATTACATAAAAAATAAATGTTACTTTATTGGGTAGAGAGCGTGTCAGCCAAACTTGGAGTATGTGTTTATATGAAATTTGCTTTATGACCCTAGATGACATAAGATACATCAATTTTGGTTGTCATTTGGTTTTGTGATCTTAGTCGATAAAAGATCACTCGAAAATAAACCAATTTAGAGAGAGTTAAACTTGAAATATTGTGATTATCAAATCAATTGTTACATTAACTCGATTAGAATTGTTCCAATTAAAAATATTCTTTTAACTCAAATGTATAGGGGCTAGTTCATCGTGAAATATGACAATTCTTTAATTGTATAATTAGTGAATTACGATATATTGTGTTTGAAAATATTTTTACTTACAAAACGCCAAAGTAGATCTAATATTACTCTCCTTACATGTTATTCGATGCCCTCCTTCTGATGTCCAAAGCACGTTCGAAGAGGACTTTCTTAGAATTTCCAACTATCGTTAGATCAATGTGACAAGGTGAGATCTCTTTGGGCCGTTATCTGACTTCCTCCCTTAGGGGGTGTTTGATTCGATGTAATTTGGGTGTAATTGAATTACAATTCTGTGGAATGTCCAATTACGTCGTTTGGTTGTAGGGAATTACAATTCCCTCAAAATGTTGAATTCTAATTCAGACCCCCACCCACCCCCACCCCCACCCCCACCCCCACCCCATATGAATTACAATTCGACGAATTGAAGGGAAAAGAAAAGATAGTTTAATGACCATTTTACCATCTGTCTTCTTACACTTCTTCTTTTTCTTCTTTCGGCCTGTCCTTGTTTCTTCCCCATTCTTTTTTCTTATTTCGTCCTGTTACCTTTCTACGTATTATTATTATTATTATTATTATTATTATTATTATTATTATTATTATTATTATTATTATTATTATTATTAGTAATTCACCCGCGCGATGCACAGGAAAAAATTTTGTTATTACAAATATAAATAAAAATAGAAAAATTAAAATATTTTAAATTGTTTAATATAATAATATTTTGAACTTCCATTGGTCAAGTATTTATTATTTTTATAGAATACACAATTACAATTACAATTAAAATTAAAATTAAAATTAAAATTAAAATTTTGTATGGTTAATATAATCTCTAATTATGTGCATATTCAAATAAACTTATTGAGAGAATTTACATAATTACATTGATTTATTCTTAATTGTATTTCATCTATATTATAATTTTCACAATACGAATAATAACTAAGATAATTACATTTGGAAAGCAAATTTCAAATTTTGTATGAGTAAATTTAAACTCTAATTGAACACATTTTTTATATGATTATATAATATATAGCTATTTTATTTTTCAAAAGTACATTTTTTATATGATTATATAATATCTAGTTATTTTATTTTTCAAATGTTGTGCTTTTTTTTATTTTATTATTTTTTAATAAAGGATGTTGTGGGTTTAATTGTAACATTAATTACTTCCCAAACCATATAGCTTTATTATAGTTAAGATTATTATTATTATTATTATTATTATTATTATTATTATTATTATTATTATTATTATTACATAAGGACATTTCAGTCATTGTATCATTTATTCCCTTTCAATTCACTGCCTTATTCCTGCATACCAAACACTGTAATTTGAATTATTACTTTATTCTCACTTGCATACCAAACACTGTAATTTGAATTGCTACTTTATTTCCACGTTATTCTTTTCCACCGAATTACAATTCATTTTCACCCTAATTCATTCATTCCAACGAAACACCCCGTTATTGTCAAAAAAAAAAAAAAAAAAAAAAAAGAAGGTAGAAGTGTCAAATAGGCCCATCTACTATTTCGAAGTGTTCAATTCTCTCCACCATCTAAAATATATGCTAATCAGACCCATCTACTTTCTGAATTTATTTGATTAGGCTTTTTTGCAGGTTACCACCCCTTTTTTATGATGTGGCCCGGTTACCATTACATGTCATTGATTACATGACATTTTTTTTTAAAGGAGATTACATGGCATTTAAAATAATAAAAATAAGAAACAATTGGGCGACAGGTTCAATTTCTTCGGCGCCTCCGTTAATCACAACCCAACTTAAATTCGCAGGCTTTTCTGCAGCGATCATCCTCGATACCTCTGCATCCTCATCCTACATCTTCAATTTCTTCTGCAACTCGTCTATCGCAACCCACTTTCTTCTGCAATTCTGCAACTCCGCATCCGCATATGTCATTTGAGCGAAATCTGAATAAAGAATTTAACACCTGATTTTTCCTAAAATTTATTCCCAAATGCGGAAAACCCTAGCCCTCGACACCATTGACGACAGTGGAAAAGCGGACGACAATACGACATGCCCGATGGAGAAGCGTACGATATTGACGACCTGCTCGTTGGAGAAGCCCGATGTTCTGGATGGGGCCGGTGGTAGGATTCGTGATTATAGATTTATAGCTTACTGTTTGGCCAATGCCGCATTCTCTTACTGTTTCTCTTCTCATCTTTTGCTGTCTCTGCTACGCATTTGCCGCCGAGGAGGAAGTTCGTTCACTCTAGGAGTTCAGGAAAGGGATAAAATTGAATCCATTGGGGAAAATCTTGGGCTCATGGAACCTCACCCTTCTCTCCGATCTCTCCTCGTGCACCGACATATTCTACGGCAGTGCCCTCGACCGCCTCGACTTAGCCAGTGACTTGAGGTTCTCCACTCTCACTGGGCTTAAGTAGCTCAGAAACTTTAGCCGGTGACTTTGCAGCAGCTTATAGTGCTTGATTTGCATTCCAATAGGCGATGCGGTGATGTGCGACGATTCTGGCTCTGGTGGGTGTGTTGATGATGAAGGCGGTGGTGGAGGTTGATTGGGGTGATATGCGGTTGATGATGAAGGCGGTGGTGGAGGCTGGGATGATATGCCTTTGCATTATTAAATTTATTTTAGTATTTTGGGGTTTGCTAAGTAATTACATGTCATTTAAATATAGTTTCCACGTCAACCAGTTAGATAGGCAACCCGGTGGTAACCTGCGAAAAAATCTAATCGAACAAATTTAGAAAGTAGATGTGTCTAATTAGCATATATTTTAGATGGTGGGAGGAATTGAACATTTCCAAATAATAGATGAGTTTATTTGACACTTCTGCCAAAAAAAAAAAAAGAAAAAAAAAAAAAAAAGTAGATGTAATATTACTCTCGTTAATTACAAGTTCTATTATAGGACGTGACATGCATTTTGACCATTTGACTAGACCAAAAAGTAATGTCTTGGGGCCACCCACATGACAAAAAAGAACTCAATAAGGTAGGTTTCCTCAGTGCCCCACCATCAATAAATACCCATCAACCATTTCATCTTCTCTCCACTTTACTGATTCCTCCATCCCCGGCAGATCTGAGAAAGAGCTTCAGCTCAGACCGCCATGGCCAAATTCTTTGCTCTCTTCGTTTTCTTCACACTCCTTGCCATCTCCATTATGCTCCAACCCACTGTGAGTTTCTTTTCTCCGGCCTCTTCTTCCTTTGTCTGATATCTTCACAACATTTCTTGTAGTTTTGCGTCTGTGCCTAACCCTGCTCACTCCATTTTTCTCCTGCAGCTCCTGCATGCTTCTCAAGGAGGGCATCATCACTCTAATAACCAGGTACATACATACATATATATATATATATATATATATATATATATATAGAGGCGGGTTTAGGTGCGGCAGTGTCTTACGGTGCGGCAACACCATTAGTTCATCAAATATGCACCTTAGGAAATACACCACACAAAACAGAGTAAACAGAGTCCTGCATCACCAAACACACACCATTAGGTGTGAGTAAAAACACCATACACTGTATTTTGTGATGTTTTATTACATTTCATTGGGGTGTGTTTTTATTACACTGTTGGTGCATATTGTTAACACTGTTGGTGAATTCTGAAATTTGACCGCACCCCCGCACCGTAAAACCCCACCGCATATGAGCGCTCTTTTATATATATATATATATATATATATATATACTACATTATCTGCATCAGTGCATTGTGTAATCTTGTTTCTACCTAAGACCCAGAGTACATAAGTGTTTTGTTTTTGGTTTGTTGTTTCAAATTTCAGAAACCCAACGGCCACTATGGTCCTGGCAGCCTGAAGAGCTCCCGTAAGTTGTCACCATTTTAATATTTCAGTTAATCTTGGTAATACAGTTATTACTATGGTCATTAGTTTGACTTAATTCCTTGCTCACAAAGGCGAAATTTCGTGAGCCCCACAATGCTGCCTGACAAGATAGTGTAGAGTAAATGATAGTAACTCAGTGACTGGTTAGGTAGGAGGATCAGTGTCATGAGTCTATGACCGACCAACAAGTAGTTAACTAGTGAAACTTACGACAAGACTGAGCTATCTGTTCAGATAATTTGAGTTAATTGATGTGTGTATACTTCATGATGAGCCCCAAAATACGGCCTGACAAGGATAATATAGTGTAAATTAGTGTGACTCAATAGATGAAATGACCAGTGCATATAGTCTTGACAAGTAGCCTATTGGCGTAACTTATGACAGGACTCGATACTGTCTCCTTACTCATAATTTACCTCTTTTTAAGTAGTTTGACTTAATGGTCAAAAAGGTGAAAAAGAAAAAAGTGATAATAAGTGTGTGTGTGCAGAATGCCCATCACAGTGCAGCCGGAGGTGTGGGAAGACCCAATACCACAAACCATGCATGTTCTTCTGTCAGAAGTGTTGCCGGAAATGCCTGTGCGTTCCCCCTGGCTACTACGGCAACAAGGCTGTCTGCCCTTGCTATAACAACTGGAAGACCAAGGAGGGAGGCCCCAAATGCCCTTGATTTAACGTTAATTTTAATTTAGTAGTTTAGTTTAACGTCGTTCGTGTGTTGTCTGTTCTTTGTTTTGTGTACGTGGCTGGTGGATGTAGTGAACCGTACCCACCATTGTACTGCTAGCAGTTATTGTTACTGAACCGGTTGTGTGGTTACTGGTTAGTTGGTGGGTTTCGGTGTTCGGTGTAACCACTCGGTCTTTGATTGTTAATTTAGTGCCTAAAATCTACTTCTAATGTCTAAACCCCAAGCTTAGCTTTACGCTCCATTTTAACAGTGTTAATCATTATTCACTCTGTCCCATTTTAACCGTCTTAATTTTTCATAATGTTAAGTTTAGAATAAATATGTAAAATTTATTTTGAACGGATACTAACACAGTTTTCAACAGAAAACATGTTTACTAACACAGTTTTCAAAATTGAAAATTGAAAATATTTCTGGAAATTTCTGAAAAATTGAAAGACTCTTAAAAACTGTTTTCGAAATGAAAAACAGAATCATATATCATCTATTTAGTTATATGTCACTATAACCATATTACAATGATTACCTTCATTATCATCTTATTTTACTTATCGCTATCTTTTATCTTTTCTACTTACTTTATTTATTTAAACTTAATTTATTTGCTTACATTTTAAAGTTAGACATTATTTACATTATCGAAATTAAAAATTAAACTCTATATAATGTTTTAGATTTTGATTGAACTCCGTAGATTATTAGTTTGAATATTTTTAATTATGTTACATTATAATACAAGTTCGGTCTAGATATCGAATATTGAAATCTCACATATATTAGAATTCAAAGTAAAAGTTATATATCCATATACATGTCATTCAAATGAATACATCCAAAAAAAATATTTTAAATATTAGATCAAAAATATTAATATTATCTCAACTAAATTTTAGGTGAAAACCGAAAAATTAAAAACAGAAAACAGAGAACAGTTTTTTATTAGTAAACAAGTTTTCTAAACAGAAAATAGAAAATGGAAAACAGAGAACGAAAACTGAAAATTAGAAAACATAAAACAGAAAACAGTTTTCTGTTAGTAAATGAACCCTTACTATTTCAATTTTATTTCCTGATTTGGTGGGCTCAAAATAATCTATTTTTTCGTGTGGGTCCCAATACAAGTGTATCTATATGATTTTGTGTATGAGAGCACAAATTAAAATTAGAAAATGAGAGTACATATAACATTTTTTTTTTCAATAGTATTGGTCTGCAGAATACTAATAGCACAACACACAGTCATGTATAGTATACTTGGTTTAATCACATATTATTAATATATGGTTGTGCTTGAATAAATACATAATTTAAATGTAACACATCATACAAAAATTGGCTAAAATTGTCTTATGGAGCTAGCTAGTGTGAATGTTTGAACCCATTGAGAATTTGAGGAGTCTTTGAGAGATTTTGATCAATCATAGAAGATGAAGACTCTGGTGTGCAGAGTGTACAAATTGACAAGACAACTCATGAATCACCATTTACCTTATCTAGTGATTTTTAGACAGAAGCTTCAATGGTACGTTTAGAATTAATTTGGCCTAATTTAAGCTTAAAGATAATAATATAATAAAAAGAAATTCGTTAAATTTGAACCTCTCAAATATTAGATGCATGGACATATAGTACGTACACTTGGGAAGCGTGCAAGGTGGAAATAATGTACCCTTCCCTGATTGAACAAAAAGTCAAAAAAAAAAAAAAAAAAAAAAAGACGAAACAAAAATCTTAATACCAATAATCGAATAAAAATATAAAATAGGAAATAAATTGAGAATACATTTACTATAAGTTTGGTTTAAGATAAAGCGAGTAATTTGTGATTTTGGTGAAGTGCTCGTACTATATCTCTACCAATAATTAATGCTGCGGTGTGTCGGTTCCTAACTTCCAATATAAATAGAAATGCATTAATTTTATTTTTATCTTTTATATATTTATATATATCATTTTACTTTTTAGGGTCGCATTTGGTTCATGAATCTATACGCTAAGAATGTGAATTAAAATCATAGTTATTATTTGATTGACAACTTTTTAAAACACAACTATGAGATTTGATTACCCCTTTAATTAAAAATCTCATTTCTCAATTAAAAAGGGTATAATTTCATCTTATAGGTAAGTATTTTTAGATTTTTGTTTTGTTTTGTTTTTTTTTTTTTTTTTGTTCATATTGATACTTTGAATGTCATTATATTATAATCAATTGTCTTGATTTTTTTAAATATATTTTTAAAACAATTATTCTCATTATAGGCTCATACACAACCAAACATCAATATTGGTAATCATTCCAATTCCACCCTACTACTAAACATGCAAAATACTTTTACTAAAATTCATTACCATTACCAAGTATTTGATTCCCATTTCAATTCTGGTTCCCATGTGCGAACCAAACAGACCCTTAATTTTTTTTTTCTTTTAGAATATTTTTTGTTGATTATAATATTATTGTAGCATGCTCATTTTTATCTTCCATTAACAAATAATTCAAGTGACGTTAAATATGAAGGTATTTCGCTCATTTTATACATAGTGGGTTGACCTGACATATTTTTATTTTTGAAAAAATTATTAATTTACGGTTAGAGTCCCCTGTCTTTTTCAATTGCAATCCGTGTCTCTAGCAGTGCTTCCACAATCTGAGACTCTGCAACGGTGGAATCACACTTATAAATCTACGATAAAAAATGAATTCACTTAGGACTTAATTGGCTAAAATGCTATTGTATTTAATGTCATTTAAATAAATTTATTGGTAAAAGATAAAAAAAATGATCATGTCACAATAATATTATGATTAAAAAAGACCGTTATAAAAACATTGCCTAAAAGTAAAATCACATCTATAAATGATAAAAATAAAATAAAATTGAATTGACTCAATAGAAGAAACATAATCTTGATTAAATCCTGGCATATTATGCCCTGGACCCGTGTCCACAATGAATTGTGGACACGGGCCCAAAACGACGTCGTTTTTCAAAAAAAAAAAAAAAAAAAAACGCGTTATTTAGTTAAAAAAAAAAAAAAAAAATCGCGCGCGTTTTGCCGTTAACGGCGTTAACAGCGTTGTTTTTTTTAGATTATGAATGTACAGTTATGTCGTTATGAATGTACAGTTATGCAATTATGAAATTATGAACAAAGAGCTCTAACATTATGAACTTACAATTATGAACATATAGTGATAAAATTATGAACATAGAGCTATAAAATTGTGAACATAGAGCTTCGAAAATTATGAATGTACAATTATAGAGTTATGAATGTACAGTTATGCAGTTATGAATGTACAGTTATGGAGTTATGAATGTACAGTTACAGAGTTATAAACGTACAGTTATGGAGTTATGAATGTACAATTATTAATAATATAGTAATAAAATTATGAACATATACTCCTATAACGAAGCGGTCTGAAATTAAAAAAAAAAAAAAAAAAAAAAAAAAAGAAAGAGATAACAGTGCAGCACTGTTACCCGTGTCCAGCAAGCATGCTGGCGCAAATTATGCCGTGGAAACGTGCTCACCATGCTTGGTGAACACGCTTCCAAACGACGTCGTTTTTGGCGTCGTTTAAAAAAAAAAAAAAAAAAACACTGTTCTATTAACGGCGTTAGGAAGGCAGTTATGATCAGACAACTCTTTGCGTTTGATTATTTCCTATTCGCAAATCGCTGAAGGCAATTGTGATCCGACATTCGCGATTCTTTCCTATTCGTGATGGAGGAGACGATGGTTCGAGGAGAAGATTCAACCGATATGATTTCTGCGATTCCAGGTTGCGTTTGATTTTATGCGTTTGATTTCGTTTGATTTATGAGATCATGGATTGTTGAAGATTTAGTTATTTTTATTGATATTTGTTCAGTATCTATGCAGTTTGAATGTTCATAATGGCCGTAAATGTGTATTAGTTCCATGTTTCTGTTATGAATTTTACAAAATGCAATTATGTATTTTCTGTTACAGAGTTATGAATTTTGATACTCTGTTCATGCATGTGATATGAATATTCATAATGTAATAGTAATATGTCCATAACATATTAACTGGTGTGTTACACTGCTTGCATATACTCAGTGAATGAAGATTGTGTTGGTGATTCAATAAGCAATGATCAAGCAGAGTTAAACATTGACATTGATGGCTCGTCTTCAAGTCCAGGTTCTTTTTATTAGTTGGTGTATCATGAATGTTGTTTCTTGTAGGTGTAGGTACTGATTCATGGTGATTATATGCAAATTGAATGTTGTGATTGGTATTAATAATCTGTTCACGTTATGAATTTACAGTTTGAGGTTATGAATTTTCCGTTATGTTATTATGAATTTTCCATATGAGGTTATGAATTTTATGTTATGAGGTTATGCATTTAATGCCATGAGTATCTATGCAACTTTGAATGCTCATAATGTCACAAATGTTATTGATATCCGGTTTTTGTTATGAACTTTCTTATATGATGTTATGAATTTTATTCTTTGTGATTATGAATGTTCTCACATGAGATTATGAATTCTATAGTGTAGCATATTACATTCATTATAGGTGAAATCCACATTCATAGTTTAGTAGTTGGTATAGGTGTGGTTATATTTTTGTTGCAATTGCAGTTGATGAAGACTTGGTGGGTGTTGTAGTAAGAAATGTTGACGAAGCTTTTGAGTTATATAATGGATATGCATACAGAGTTGGTTTTAGTGTGAGGAAAGGCCAACAACGTTATAAGGCATCTACTAAGTCAATTCAGATGAAGAGGTTCTTCTGTGCTAAGGCTGGGTATAAGCAGAAACCAAACAGTGGTGTTAAGCTTTACTCAAAGATTGATATGAGGACTGGATGTGGTGCATTTGTTCAGTTTGATGTGGGGGGTGATGGGATGTGGACAGTTACAAAACACTTGAAAGAGCACAATCACGAGTTATGTTCATTTGGCAAGAGTCATCTGCTTCGGTCGCATAGAAGAGTGGGAAACAATCAGCTTGAATATTTAAAAGACATGAAGAGTAGTGGTGTTGCATTGGCGGATGGTATGAGGTTTTTGAAACATCAGTCAGGGGGCTCTCCATTGGTTGGCTTTACCAACCGCGATGCTTACAATTCGATGGTTTCTGTGAGTTTGAAGTGTTTGGATGGATCGGATTCAAATTCTTTGGTTGAGATATTCAGGAGGAGGCAATCTAATGAGGCTGATTTCTTTTTTGATTTCGAAGTTGA